ATGGTTTATAAAAAGTTGGTGCCTAGAGGCGAACAACTATACCAATAACATGGTTAAATCTTCTCAGAGTTATGGAGATGATGGCAATTACTAATGGTGATCATCGACGGTAATTGTGGTTGTCAGTGATAAAAGCTGGTGGTGGTTGTTGAGGCAATAGCTAGAAATACAAGAGAGCCCTCTAGTTCTTTTCTTTCTTGCCCCCTCATATATAGAATGAGGCTCTATTTATAGACTTTTTGGGAATGACATTTTGATAATTTCAACCATAATCTAAAATACTCCATCGTATGGTCTATATCGATTCAATTGATCAAGTACTATTTTTTCAACATTTAAGTATATTAATGATATCATAATTGAGTGAACTTAAACTCATTAGATTCGTCTTGTTAAGCCACACTCGATTCAAATATAATAATTCAAATTTAAAATTCAGATGATTATAACTTTAATTTAAATAATTTTTAATTCTATCATAAGCTTTTTATTGAGTCACATCAACTGTCATAAATTTTCTATCACATAGCTTATTAAAAAAAAAAAAGCTTCTCGATTTTTAAAAGAGATATTCTTCAATATTCAATGCTTTATCACACCACATGTGAACACAATTAAAATTACGCGCACATAATAAATATGGCTTTTCAGACCGCACTTATCATGCGTTAACAAAAATAGATTCCATAGAAAACATTGTCCAAACGAGACCAGCGAAGCTAGATCTGTGAGGCTGACGCGGCTGCCATTCCTCAACAAAGTTCTTAGCTTGTCCTTTCAATGAAAATAATTTGCACAGTACTTCACCTAAATTCCCAAACACTTATCAACGCGAAATAATCGCGGTCGCTCAGTCAAACGTCCAACGCTAGCGCAAACTACACGCTACCAAGCGATACCAATCACATTTGACTTGCAAACGCAGAAATTTCGCCGGCGGGCTCTAAGAAGTAAGAACAGAATTAGAATTAAAAAAAAAAAATTCGAGAAATTTTGGGCATTGTCCGTATATTAAAGAGAAAATATTACAGGTACAACAAGGCTCCAATGAGAAATAGGAGCAGCTCATCAGAGCTCAAAAAACCAAAAACATTGAACAAAATCTATATCTGGATCAAACTACAAAAGGAAACATGAAAGAGACTTAGGCTTCATTTGGAATGTCTTTTTTACTACTTCTTGAAGCAGCTTTCTAGTATAAAAATTCTGCTTCAATAAGCATTAAAAAGACCGTCCCAAACGAAGCCTTAGAAATACAAATTTTTATACTAGGAAGTTGCTTCAAGAAGCAGTAAAAAAGTCGTCCCAAACGAAGCCTTAGAAATACAGACCTGCACGCAGCCAGGACTCAGTTAGGAGTCAAAAATCAACTTACTAAAGCACGGAGAGATCCCTGGTTGCCTGAAGATCATCTGAGGAAAAAATTCAGAAGATACGTGAACATCATCGGGCTGGCTGCTGCCTACCAAAACACCCATGCAAAAAACCTCTTCATCCACGGGGCAGAAAGAAGAAATAATAGCCTCTGCTCTGATCAATCCATTACATGATACCCATAAGCTTTTCATAATTTTTCCACTTACATATCTTGAAGAATACATCTTTTTTTATCTTTAAAGATATAGTGGTGTCGCAGCTCATATTACCCCCAAAATTTCTTTCATTCTTTTCTCTCCATATGAAATAAATGGAGCAGCAGATGATAAGAAAGTATAGATTTTTAACACTAACCTCAGTTTGCTCAAGAGCATTTATCCATTCCATCAAATGTAAAATCGTTGGTCTTAGCAGCAAAGACGAAGTTCCCGAGAACAATTGAGTTATAACAGAAAAAGAGAAGCTGCATTCAAAGAAAATATGGGAACTGCTTTCACTAGCATTATGACATAGCTAACATATAGGATCTACTTTTAAATTTCTTTTGAGTAGAACATCCGAAGTTTTTAAGCCTCCTATCATGGCTAGCCAAGCAAAAATGGAACATCTCAATGCATATATTTTGTGTCAAACCATGTTATACCACGAATTAAGAGGGAGTTCTTTATAGAACTCCTTGATGTATTGCCCAAATAAACATTCATCCGAGCTTCCCCAAGTTAAGGAGAACAGAATTAGCATGAACGAGAATAGCTATGATGGCAGATATGACAGGAAGACTGGAAGAGGCAAGTTGTTAGGCAAATACCAAGAGTTCCTTATAATCAAATCCTTCACAAGAGCAAACTGATCAAAAGCTTGCGATAAAACATACCCGTCAAGAATTTCATTAAGAGTATGCCCTTCACACCAATGATCCCAATGTAGAGAAATGGGGGATGAGGGAGTAATCCTGAATTAAAATGCATTCCTCACCAAACAGGCAGTGTTGCAAATAGATTTCCAAAAGATAGAAGCATAATGGGGAGGACGTCGCCAAGGTGAAGAGTATCTATGAATTAGCCAAGATGATAGAGGAGTTGTATAATTATACATTCTACTTATAATAAAACAATTAAAAGCAAATTGAAGAACTGACAGAGAAGGCAGTCCCAACCCTCCAGAATATTTGGGTTTGCAAACCTTGTCCTAGGATATCACATACATCTTCCTTTCAGCAATAATTTCACCCAAAAAACAAAAATCTAGAGGATGCTTTTCTAATGAATTTAGATATAATTTTAGGTAGAATTGATCCCTTGATCGAATATGTAATAGAATTCATGACAGTAACTTTCAAAAATTACAATCTACCAACAAAGGAAAGAATGTTTGCCTTCCACCCATACATTTTCTTAGAAATGTTTTCCATTAGGAAAGAATGTTAAGCCTTTTGAAGGACAGAGGTATACCCAAATAAGTGATATGAGAGTTAATGTTAGAAATAGAAAGGGCTTGGCATATGAGTTGTTGATTTTGGAGCCTATTAGGAGTCATAACATAGCTTTTCTCATAGTTTATGTGAAGACCAGTAGCATTAGCAAAAGTTTTGAGAATGTGTGCCAAATTCTTGCAATTATCCACCTCAGAATTACCAAAAAATCAATAAATCATCAACATATTAGAGATGAGATAATTTGAATCCTTCAATATTAATACCATCAAAACCTTTTCCATCGAGTAAAGTGGAAAAAGCATCTATAATAATGCAAAATAAGTATGGACTTAGGGGGCATCCTTGCCTCAAGCCAGTAGAAGAGGAGAAAAATCCTTCAAGAGCACCATTTGAGACTATAGAAAAGTTGACGTATGATATGCAAGCTTTTATCCATTGGATGAATTTTCTTGGGAAACCCTTTTGAGTCATCCTAGCAAGTAAAAATTCTCTAAACACCGTGTCGAAAGCTTTGCAGACGTCCAACTTAGCACATAAATAATTTTGGCATCCTCTACTACAGGCTAATGAAAGGATTTCATTAGCAAGAATAATGTTTACAGTTGATACTATAGATTTAACAAAACCAACTTGATTCTCCCTTACAATCAAAGGCATGAAAGTTGCTCATACTCTACTTAATATTTTCATAAGGGCTAGGGTTTTTACATTCGACGACTGCCTCCCGCCATTTTTCATCCGTCGGCTATTTATTTTTATTATTTTTAATTTTTTAATATAAAATTGTTTTCTATAATCATATTAGTAAAGTTATTTTTTCTATAATGTCTACACAACTAATTTTATAAAATATTTTAATCTTATTAAACAAATCCTTAGTTATCATTGTTGTGGGCTAGAATATACGCGGTGATAGAGTTAGAGTCCTACATCTTAGCATTGCATCCATATCCAGCTCACACACAGAGAACACAAGATTTTAACGTGGAAAACCCTCACTTCTGTCGGACCACCACTTGAAGCCTTTAGCTCCTTCGGACCACCACATGGGCCCTCAGTTCTGTCGGGTCACCACTTGAGGCCCTAAGTTTCGCCAGACCACCACCTGAGGCCCTGAGCTCCGCCGGACCACCACTTGAGGCCTTCACTTTTGCCGGACCACCACCTGAAGCCCTCACTTCTGCCAGACCACCACCTGAGGCCCTCACTTTTGCCAGACCACTACATGAGGCTTGGACTTTTGCCGGACCACCACCTGAGGCACTGATTTCTGTCGGACCACCACCTGACACCCAGACTTATGTCTGATCCACCTGAGGCCCGAAATTCTGCTAGACTACAAAGTGACACCGGATTAGTATCCCTATTTGTCACTATATTTCAACTTTACTGTTGACATTTATAATCTAATCGCCCTCAAGGACGAGTTAGCCCGCTGCAACCTACTCGAATTCTAGTGGAATCACTTTCAACTAGGCCATGCCTTATGGTCTTTCCTCTTTCCAAGATTTTTCAAGTAAAAAATCTTGCGTTCTATATGTGTGAGCTGGATATCTGTGCAACACTAAGACGTAGGACTTTAACTCTATCGCCACGTATATTCTAGCCCGCAACAATCATATTTTTATATGATTTTATTAAAATAATTAATATTAGGCATTCAAAAGTAAAGGAATTTAAATTCTATTAAAATAACTAATTTATCAATATTTCTCATTTTTTATATAATTACTTTTTATTTTATGCATTTATCTATCTTTCTAAATATTTTATCTTATAAATTTGCATATTTTTAAAAAACTATGTTATTATTTCTTGATGTAAAAGACATTAAGATGAACTTTAAAATCTTTGATTCATTAAGATTATTATCATTTATGCTAGAATTTTTGTGAATTTTTTTTTTTATAAATTTGTTCCATAAAATTGCAGCATGTTTTCAAAAATATATATAAATTTAGGTTATATTTGAAATAATTTTTTTACTTTTTTTATACTTTAGATCATAATTAAAATTTTATTTGATTAATTTTTAATTATTTCAAAAAAAATTATACGAAAAAATTATTTCTACTACAGCTTTAAAAGAAGAATATTTTATAAATAATCTTGTAATCATTTTTATAAAAATATTTTTTTTTTGGGAAAATTATAGAAGTCACAAAAAAAGCCTACGCAGCAAATGATTTATTGAAGCAGGATAACAAATTAATAATCAAGAAGCATAATCATTAAAGAAATGAATGATCTGACCAACCGACAAAGATGGCACAAATTCGACCGTTTAACACAGATGAAGAAGGAAAGAAAAGAAGAATCTTTTACAATTATAATGTTGCAAAATCAACTCTTAGGGGCTAATCGGCTCTTAATCTTTTCAACTTCTTTGGTGCCAATCTGAAACGCTTTGGTGAGCACATTGTCAGGAACCGCCGGCGAGGAGCCAAAGAGCGCGGCGGCTACAGCCTGCGTTCCAGGAAGCTGGCTGTTGAACGCGGCGATGACAGCGGCCGGCTTATCCTCGTTGTTCTTCTGGAAATGGACGAGCCCGCGGGGGAACACGAAGTTCTCCCCGTGAGTTATGCGTTTGGCAACGAGTTTATTCGCGGTGGTTATGAAGCCCACGTCGAGAGTGCCGTAAAGAACGAAAACCAACTCGGTGGCGCGCGGGTGGGTGTGCGGCGGGTTCAGCCCTTTGGGAGCGAAGTCTATGCGGGACATGGAAACCCCGAGAGTGTTAAGTCCTGGAATCTTCTCCACGTTGGCCGCCGTGACGATGGAGCCCAAGGTGTTGTTTGTGGCGTCCGGTGCAGCGATACCCTTGAAGAAGAAGTCGTCGGGTGTCACGGCGGCCGGAGGCTTGCAGAGGAATCCGTTTACTTTGAGAGCTGGAGGGAAAAGAGAGCGAATTAGTCATTAATGAGTTGGAGTGAGAAATTAATGAAGTTGGTTGGTGGTTGTATTACTGGAGTTGAGATCGGCGACGCAGATGTCTTGCAGGAGGTCGGGATCGGCGGCGATGGTGGTGGCGGCGAGGGTGATGATGAGGAGGAGGAAGGGAGATTTGGTGATGGCCGCCATGGGAATGTTTTGACTGAGAGAGCGGAATTAAGGGGGAGGGATGTTTGGGAGTTATAAAGGCGATAGCTTTGGCGTGGAGGATGGAGGGAGTTGGAGGCGGATGTGATGGGAGAGACAGGGGAGGAGGAAAGTGGGACTTCGAAACAAAGAAAAGGAGGCGATGAAGCCAAAGAGGAAGGAAGATGGTTGAGCAGATCGACTGAGTACTTGTCGGGGGATTTACATTCATATCATTAAAAAATTTTAATTTAAATATTTGACATCTAAATTTGATTATTTGCTTACATAATATTTAAAATTTTAAATATCAACAAAAATATAATGACATGAACTCATTATCTGTCTCATCGCACCGCCGGTCATATCGTTGTCGCCTACTTGGAAAATTATTAGGTCTGGACATCCAATTAAAATTTGACATGTGAACTGCTCTTTGACTGTGCTTTGACTGTGCTTTCACTGGGCTTTCAATGTGTTTTACCTACGCTTTACCTGCACTTTACCTGCGCTTTACTTGCGCTTTTGGCACACTTGATTTAAAATTCGCGGACATGTGTACATTCCACATGTCAATATTTTATTGGAGTCCAAACGTATCTCCATGTTTGGTGTTCGGACCTAATAATTTTCCAGCCTACTTTGCACCCCAATGGTTCTATCGACTTCGTAGAACTTTGCTGTAAACGAGACAAGAACTCACGGTGAGGCTCGTCGGGCCAATGCATCTCCCAGCCGCTCCAATATTTTGTATATATATATTTTTTATTTTTTTGGTTATTTGACTATGAGGATGATATTGGTGCAATGTTCCTATCTCAACAATGAAGGCCATCCATAAATAATTCAATTAGGATAAACATTATACTCTAAAAAAAACAAGTTGAATTGTCAATGGAAGACATGGTTCTAGATGCACTTCTAACAAGGAAAATTAGATTCTAACGTTTTGTTTGAGATGACTTTTAGTATAAAAATTTTAATTTTTGTACTAAAAATCTGCTTTAAGAACCAATATGAAAGCCGTCCCAAATGAAGCCTAAATTATCATGAAGATTAGTGAGCTAGTCGCTATTCCCATGGGGAAGTAGTTATAGATATTATGTCAAGTTGTTCAAAGTAGATCATTAGATTGAATATTAATGCTAGGTTAGGCACTTTCCAATCAAGTTAGAAAATTCCATTTTGAATTGCTTATCAAGCATATTTTGACTTTTCAAATTGGAGTCCAAGTAGTTCTTCTCCTAAGATGACTCGAAAAAACTCGACGGTGTAGATGAGTCTAGCTGGGTCATAAGTCGATTTGAAATCATTATGGAGCTCACGAGTCAAGCTTGTTAGATTACGAGTTCAAGTTTAGCCTCATTTACTGCTCGTATATAATGCAATCATGTAGTGTTGTCCACTTGTCCATAAACTAACTAATCTTTTATTAATTTCCATAGAAACCCTTAAGTTCTCCTATTGTAGATATTTTCTTATTTTCCATCATTACATTTCACTCATTGTCACATTTAATGCTGCCTACAACTTAGAATACTTTATTTATATATTGAGAAAAGTCTTTTTTTTTTTTCATTTGTATTTTTTTATTATTATGCTTCTTTGAATATCAAAAAAGTTTAATCAAAATCAAGCTTAATTTCAAGCATGAAAAATATCTTCGAAATCAATAAAAGATTTATTGATTAACTGAGTTCTAGCTTAATTTTATGAATTCTAGTCGACCCACGAGCCGGTTCATTTACAATAAAACGAGCCGACTAACAAGCTAACCAGTCGAGGCGAGACTAACTCAAGCTTGGCTTATTATCTCATCGTATTCATTTCACGAGCCATTTATTGAGTCGAGCACGATCCTTCTCACGAGTCAGCCTGACTCAGCTACACCCCATAGCTAAAATTGGATCATCACAATCGATATAGAATTAGATCTATAACTAATTTTATACCCATCTTACTTCTAACTTACCCCAAACCACTTTTTTTATAATTAAAAATATGTTATATTTTAAATTTATTAAATATATAATATAAAATTCCTTCCTTATTAATAAAAAAAAAAATCTTATAGGTGTCATAATTTTCTCATGCTTGTCATGTGAGCATGGGCCTTCAAGATGGTGTTATTGTGTGGTTGGTGGCTAACCCGTTGTCTCTTCAGCTATAGCCTCTGTTGAGAGCACCCGAGGTGGAGTCTTTGGCTTGAATGCAGTCCTTTTTCACTAAATTATTCTTGTTTTGTGGTTCCAAATGGACCCACTTTTGGAAGTTCAATTTCTTGGTGTAGGAGTAGCCCATTTGCTAATTAGGGTTTGTTTGACATCAATTTTATTATCATTTCTAAAATAGATTTGATACATCATAAAAAAATTACCTTGATCAAGCACGAATCTCGAGGTAAAATCAAGTTGGAAACTTCAAAAATTATATCGGAGACTGTCTGAATTCTGATTTCAGCAAACTTACAATCAAACTGAGCGTCTCGGAAACACAAACCCAACGACACCAAAATAGACCCAATCTGAGCCCAAATGAGTCCAAATCAAAGACCCGAAGCACTTTTGGAATGATCTAACCACAATTTGGGTTACCAAACGATCTCCAATCATGACATGCATATAGTCGAATCGAGCGGCTCGATGAGACGAATCCAACGAGCTCATCATCAAATTGTGATATCATTAAGATAGGCAAAGGTCCATTGAACAGTGCATGATCGTATGAATCAAGATCATCCATCCATTCGAACCACTCTCAATTTATCATTGATTTTCCACTAATTTACAAGCCACGCCTGTCACGACCCGACCCGACAGGGACGGATCCCGCCCGAGCCGGATCGCGACAGAACCTTCTTATCCAGGATCTGGCTTTGAAATTTGGTTCTGAACTGAATCTTCCAAAATAATTAACTCAACAGACACACAAACACAGAGCTACTATGAATCATCAAACACAGCGGCCGAAGCCGGAGTGCCCCTTGACGCTGAAGTGCCACTAACGAGCCACCACTTGACATGGAAGTGTTGCCGGACCACCACATGAGCCTTGAACTTCTCCCGGACCACCACCTAACGCCTAGAGTTCTATCAGAGTACCTTCCTCCTACTACGGTCCTTTCGAACTCCCTAGCTAGACAATGTCTTTCTGACTCTAGTCTCCTGCCGACTACGATCGTTCTGACCTCCCTCGCAAGACAACAATCTTTCTAACCCCGGTCTCCTACCGACTATGGCCTTTCCAACTTCTGTCGCCTACTATTGTCTTTCCGACCTTTGTTCTATCGACTATGGTTCTGCCAACCAAACAAATATGTCTATATTGATGTGCTCTATATTATGTACATTTGTGACATCAAGCCAAGACCTTCTCCTAAGGAAGGGCCTCATTTGTAATCAGCTGTAAATACTAGTGGATTCATTCAAACTAGGCCAGGCCCCGTGGTTTTTCCCCTTTTTCAGGGGTTTCCATGTAAAAACTCTTGTGTCTCTTATGAACGCTACACCCTCTCTTTTTCTGCTTGTGTTCTGGATCTTCGTACAAAGCTATGACGTTACATTTTATATTTCTCTATCCCCGCGAATATTCCAGGACACAACAAGATTTATTTGTTGTGTTTGGAAATTTATTTTCAAAAAAAAAATAATTGGAATAATTTGTAGGTGTTTTGAGTGTCGTTAAAGATATCAATTCGGTCCACTAGCCACATATCATCACCCGTCATCGCTACATCTACATTGACCAATTGTCACTTCCATTATTATTGGTGGTGGGCCCTGGAGATCATCTTCTCCATCATCGAGTTCTTGGGGATTACAGAAGAAATGACGTGATAATCTAATTGTAAGTAATTATTTGATTTTCGTTATAAAGATTACATAACAAATGATGTAAAGTGTTGGCAATTATACAATGTCAAATGATGGGATCAAATGTTAGTAATAAAATGATGGGGATTGTGGTTATTGATGGTGGTCGTCAACCGCAATTTTCAAATAATACATGGAACTTCCTCAGATCTCTTAGCTACAAAACCTCTCTAAGCCTTATAGATAGCTTTTTTGAGAGGGTGGTTTTATATATTTGACAAAAATAAAAAACTCTCTAAATGACTTATATTATTTCCTTTAATCATATATGTTATTTTTCTATACCACTATGACCCACTATACATAACAGAGAAATGTTGTCAGACAAAGTGGTTTTATTTTTTTTTCCAAATCATTTTTTATTCCTCATTTTTTTATTCATTAATTATTCAATTCAAGTTCAAAAATTCTTCAAAAATTATTTAATTTGAGTTCAAGTAATCTCCCAAATTAATTTAATTTGACTTCAAGAAATATCTCAGAATTATTTTGTTCATGCTTTTGATTGTCAAAATTTTAGCAACATCTCGGTGTCTCCCTTGCATAGAAGGAATCTATAGGGATTCTAGACCCACCCTCCATGTCAAAAAAGGTGTGTATGGTAGGTGTCAAATGAGACTATTAACTCCCTTCAGCTCAGCTCCAACTGGATTCAAGATGACACGTGGCTTACTTTCATTTGTTATAATTTCTTTTATTATATTTTCCTATCTATATATAGCATGGCTGTTGTACCAAGATGGATGAGAAAAAATATTTGTTTACTTTCTTCTTCTTATATCTCGTTCTCCCTTAGCTTTTCTTGTTCTTGGCTTGCGGTTTTCATGGTATCAGAGCGGGTCATCTGGTGACCGCCGTGGTGTCAGCCTCCCACCGCTTATGGATAGCTCATCTTCCCCCCTCGCCGCCACCGCACCCGAGGATACACGCACCTTCGGCGTTAACTTCAAACTTCAACCCATCCCCCACCAACTGAAATTTCTTATGGGTAACATCAAGAGCATCATCTCCATCACTCTTACCACGGACAACTACCCAATCTAGCGTTCTCAAGTCGTTAAACTATTTCATGCAAACGACTTTGAGGGATTTCTTGACGGGAGCTATTCTTTCCCTTCCCCGCACGCCCCGTCATCTTCTTCATCCCTTGTCAATCTTGGACCCTTATCGATCAAAACCTATCCACTGCCTTATACTTGATCATCTCTCTCGATCTTCTCCCATACGTCCTATCTTTGGATCACTGCATCGAGATCTGGGACACGCTTACCTATCTCGCACCATACAACATCGCAAAGTGCTCCATAACCTATCCATGAAAAATCAAACCATGTCC